ATAAAACAAAAGTTTCATTCCGAAAGAAAATGAAATATCAAGTACGTAAGATATTGTGACAATTAAATACATTCCATTTATAACTGTTCTTTAGAGCATCCACAATTATAAACCAGTTTCATGACTTTATCATATCAATTTTCTCTTTCTGTCAAATCAACTTTTTTTTTCCTACACATTTCATAAACCCTTTTACTTCCAATCATTTCATAGCTTATACAATACAAAATAAAATAACAAAAATTAAAATAATTCAAGATTACTTATTTAATTAAACTACGATAATTAGAATTATAATAATTGAAATTTATAATAAAATTCTAAAAGTAAAATTATATCTAATGACAATAAAATCAGAGGAACATAATACAAAATTACATTTATTAAGAATAAGAAATTTTACTTTTGTATAATTCTTAAATTTTTATTGAATTAAACTTTTTTTTATCTAAGAGGTATAATCTTAGTTTGATAAAGTAAAAAAAATGTAAATTATAACTTTTTATTATTATTTTAACGGTGGATCCCATCATTTCTCGAGAAAGAATTTGTCCTTGCAGACGAATCGATTCCTCCTATGTGGCAATGAACCGGTCTTCCCCGATAGTAACCAAATTTTTGTAACGGTCTGCAGATGTTCTTAGGAGAAGGTTTTGTAGGACAATTTAAATAGAAGACGATAGATATTAAATTTTATTGATAAAAAAAATATTCAAAAAGGTTATTGTATTAGCAAAGGGTTTTAAGAATAAGGTTTTGTTAAAATAATAAGTTGGTAACAAGTTATGAAATGAAGATGCTTTTTTGTTGTACATGAACAGTACCAATTCTTTTAGTGTAAAATGAATTTGTTTAATTACAAAATAATAATTTTATTTGTTGAAATATACAAACATAATTCTACCTGATTTTTAATTATTAATTCATATATTTATAATATTGTTTTTAGTTTATCATATTCTTTTAATATATATATATATATATATATATATACTATATTATAATGCATTTGGCTAAAACTCTTAAAAACTCTTAAACTCTTAAAACTCTTAAACCCGTTCATCTCTATCCGATTTCATCCCATAACTGAATTC